AACAAACAGAACGACACTACTCAAATTATTATATAGATAATATTAAATACATAGAGACTGTACATGACACAGCAGGACTAATAGGTTCTATCACAGTATGAGCTTGAGTTGGGATATCTCACCCGAGTTATAGATATCCCGTCTCATACGAGTGTAGCGAGTATGAGACGTGGTTATCTATAATGAGGGTGAGATATTTCCAATCTCAAGCTCATACTGTGATAGAACCTTTTTCTCGCATATTTTTTTAATTTATTTTTTTATTAACTTTTTATTGCAGAAAGAACATTTCAGTTCAAGTAGTAATTCAATATTTTGCAAAATTATAAATTTTTAAATTTTTAAATTAAATTAATTTTTTTTTATTTATATATTTTTTATTATTATTTTTTTATTTTTTTTATTAATAAATTTTGTGAGTATTGATTGGCCAAAAACTGTAAAGGTGACCTTTGACCTTGTAATTAAGGAAAATCATTGGATTAAAAAGTAGTGCGAGATAAACCCATCTCGTGGTCTGCAAGTTATCTCGAGGATTTATCTCGGTGGCTATCTCGGGGGATATCTCATACCTAGTATGCGAGAAAGGAAAGATGTTACTTAGCTCTCATTTTTGGCAAGTTTACATTAGGTGAAATCATCTGACCTAATCCCTCTTTTAATCTATGTTTTAGTGCATGGCCTTCAATGATGTTCAGCCACAGGCACCGATTCATTTTCTTGTCATACCAAAGAAGCCTATTGCAACGCTAGCAGATGCTGCAGAAGATGACACGCAGGTGAGCGTACCATGTAGACTACCATCTACATCTTTCCTGGTTCATATTATATTTAGTGGCGTTTAAATTTTATGCTCAAAACCTAAACGATTAAACTTTTTGGCATTTTGAACTTCACTATGAATTGTTGTAGCCAATGTCTTGCAATTCTCATTTAATTATTCTGTCATGTATTTATACATGGACCATTGATAATCTGTGGTGTGAGAGAATTTTGCAAATAGAGTAATATTTGTAGTGATAAATAACAATATAATAATGTTAGTAAATCGGCAACAAAATATTCCTTTTTTTTGCGTGTCATGAGTCATATATCATATATTAATTATATGCATTTTTCAAGCTCCTCGGACACTTGGTTCAAGTTGCAAAGAGAGTAGCAATACAGGAGAATATGGATAAGGGATACAGATTAGGTAATTTTAATATTTTTATCACACGCAGAACCATCCAAACTTCTTTTATGTTTAATATGCCATAGCTCACAATTAGTCCTCCATTCTCCTTTTACAATGTCTGAATAGAGACAAATGTAACCTTATAGAACATTAAAATTGCATGAGCATTCATTTGTCCCTCTGTTGGTCGGAGGGGTAAACACGGATTTGTTGACTGTTAACAAAGGACTGAACTGCTTTTGCTATTGGATCCACCCTCCCCCTCCCCCTCCAACCACCACCACTAAGCTCGCGCTCGACGCATATCCATGATAACATGTTAATATAGTGAAGTCATTAAAGTTACACAGCTGTATCTTTATTACTGTACTACTGGTATAGCAAAGCCTATCATAGATTTTAGATCTGTATTAGTAGTATCCTAGATATATGCTCTGAGCGGGAACGTGGTGGCGGGAGGGCGCACTTGATTAGGTTGCCAGTGAGTTTATCAGAAGAATACCCGGCTACAGTACACATCAGTTGAGCGCTGTCGCTCTGCAGCACTTGTTAGTTAATTTCTGTTCGATGCTTATTCAGGCCTGCTGCCTATGGACGCCTTGTACTGTTGTACACCACCTTAAGGTTGTGGGCATAATGCAAATTAGTGCACTCTAGTGCCGAATTTTACTGCAAATTTTTTTTCCAGGCTTCACCACGGACGAAATAGTGCAACAGTGAACAATTTGCGGAAGGTTACTGTTGTATGCCCCCTACCACAAACATGGCATCTATGTCAATCATTTTCTCGTGTACTTGCATTCTAAATGTGCCAGCTTCTTCTATTTCTGTTTCACGGTCAATATCTTCTTTTCAGTCAACAGTTCCAGAATTTCTTGGTCCAATCTGTGCATCGAATCAAGTTTTTTGGCTAGTATAATTTTATTCTGCATTTGTCTTCTTTCTTCTCTTCCGGCACTCAGCTTGTTAGCATTATCCTCCATCAACTCTCTAACCGTTGTTTTGTGACATAATCTATGTCCACCTCGTGTTCTCCTCTTTCTCGTCACTTTGTCCATTCCTGCAGCACTCCGTTCTGCTCCTCTCCAACACCGATCCGATCTGCTCCGGCTCAATCCGCTCCGATCTGATCTGCCCAGATCAATCCATTCTGATCTGATCTGCTCCGGCTCAATCCGCTCTGCTCCGATCTGATCTGCTCGCACTCAATCCACTCTGCTCCAATCACCGATCTGATCTGGTGCAATCCGACTGATCGGCTTTTCCCTATCCCCTTCTGCTGGTAACTATACACTCGTGTATATCAGTGACTCTGTAACACTCGTGCTTATCTGTATACAATTTATGACCTTATTTTACTCTATACACCTGTTAAAAACCACTTTTCCCATATTCTCGTCCACTCCCCTTGCTCACTCTACTCGACTCATCCACGTCCGCTCTCTTTGAACACTGCTCGACTCCTTCACGTCCGCTCTCTCGGAACACACTCCACTCGACTCTCCCTTGACATACGTCCACTCTCTTTTAACACTACACCCGACTCTCCCTTGACATACGCCTACTCTCTCTGAATACTCCACTCGACTCTCCCTTGACATACGTCCACTCTCTCTTAACACTCCACCCGACACTCCCTTGACATACGTCCACTCTCTCTTAACACTCCACTCGACTCTCCCTTGACATACGTCCGCTCTCTCTGAACACTCCACTCGACGCTCCCTTGACATACGTCCACTCTCTCTCAACACTCCACTCGACTCTCCCTTGACATATGTCCACTCTCTGAACATTCGACTCGACTCTCCCTTGACATACGTCCGCTCTCTCTGAACACTCCACTAGACTTTTCCTTGACATACGTCCGCTCTCTCTGAACACTCGACTCGACTCTTCCTTGACATACGTCCGTTCTCTCTGAACACTCTACTTGACTCCTTCACGTGTACACGTCTCTGCCGCTCTACCAGACTTTCCCACACCCTGCTTTGTCTGGTAACTCTGCCTGATGATGACCGTTTCACACCTAGACGTTTGCTCTCAGTGACCGCTCTCTGGTGCCCGCTTTCATTATACTTGGGCCTTTCCTGCGCATTATTTTACCTTTACTGTAAATACTATGCTATACCCGACCAATTCCAGGCCGTTATGTAATACACATAACGGACGTCGGGGGGGGGGGGGGTCATCGCGAAAAGGACTCGGATGTCGAATTTGTGGGTCAAGGGTCAAAGTGTGATAATGGAGGGGGAATATTTCCCCTTAAAGGACATTTGAAGTCAAACTTCGTGTAATTTTTATAGCATAGAAATACTTCAAATAACGTATTCCATTTCAAATCCGCACCCATTAGTAATAAACACTGAATAGTAATCTAGTCATGTGATGTCACGGCCCAAGTTGAGCGACGCCATTATGTAAACATAGTGCGTGCGGTGGTTAAATATTCGATGTTTTTTGTTATTTCTCATGCTTAAAACACCTGTAAATGTACTTATATTCATGTACATACATATTACCAAGAGCGGATAATACCTAGAGTGTACAACGGAAAAACGGGAAAATAGTGCTATTTCACGACTACATTATTCTACCTTTGCCTGCGAGTCTTAGAATTAAATTTCATCGGTATTGCATTAAGCAGGAATTCTTTGCTCTCTAAACAAGACCAACGCGCTTGTCAATACGATACTCCTAGCGGAGATATCGGCTCCTAAACCTCCCCTCCACATTGCCAAACGCCGACCTCGATCCACTTCTCGCACACTCCTACACGCGGCGGCTTAAGCGTTGCTTCCGTGAAACGGACATTCGTCGTTTTGTCTTCCGCGGATAAATTTATGAATGGGCGGTGCTTCGTTATATAGGTTGACATTCGGGCATCGCTATGGGCCCTTATCTTCCATTATCTTCCTAGACGGCCTAAGCGCCCGTCCCTGATGGAGCCGCTCCATCAAGTTTTACAACGGCCGGCTCAGTTAACTAAGTGTAGAACAGTACCCAAATTTGGGCATATGACATGCAATATCAGCGCTCCAAGTGTGACGGAAACCGATCGCCAAATGCTACCGCGTGTAGGATGGGGACAGAAGTGGATTCGATGCGGCGTTTGGCATGTGGGAGGGGAGGTTTAGGAGCCGATATCTCCGCCTAGGAGTATCGTATTGACAAGCGGTTGGTCTTGTTTTAGAGAGCAAAGAATTCTGCTTAATGCAATACCATGATATTATTCTAGACTCGCAGGCAAAGTAGAATAATGTAGTCGTGAAATAGCACTATTTTCCCGTTTTTCCGTTGTACACTCTAGGTATTATCCGCTCTTGATATAACCTGTGTGGATAATGCATTCACGGTATATGTACATGACTTGCGTAGATACATGTACGTGTACAGATACATGTGATTCTGACCGAGCGTGATAAGCCCGGTGATCAGTGTACTCGCATGACTCACCTGGTCTAGCGTAGAACTGGTCTACAATAACCCTGGTCTTCTCATTCTCATGGCAGCATATATACATTCAGGTGCCGTACTCATTATTTCACAAACACCACAAGAACACCAGTATTTGACTACAGTCCTATCGGGTACCGAAGCTTCCATTCCGCCATGTTGTGACTGTTCTGATTCTCGAGAAGTTTATGCCGACTCTTCGCGTTGCTTTTTCAGACGATTCTCCTCAATTTCTTCTTGTGTATATTCAGGCTCAAACCTATATCCAACTGTTAAATCACTATAAATATCATCATCATCTGAGTAATCACTAGAATCATTGAAATTATCGCTTTCTGTTTCCATCTTATACACAACACTCAACTTG